GTACCGATAACCTACCACTTCTTTGTAAACTCAAACCCGTGAAGTGTTAGGAGCAAATATCCAATCATTATGCAAATCTTTATTTGTTTATTCATTTATATCAAATGGCAGGCGTTGTGAAAGTTATCATCAGCCCTTAAGTTGTCTTCAGGCTTCAAAGATGAGAAGGAACATTAAAGTGAAATAAGTCGAGAGGGGAGGGAGAACAGAAGAGAGTTTCATAGATGTAAAAGAGACAGACATAAAGGTAGAAAAAAGGTGAGGTGAGTACTGTGGAAGTAGTCGAATATGACATACAATGGGGTGAGGGTAGTTTGAAGTCAACTGCCAGTTAGTAGACTTGTTTGCCGTATGAGTATACGTTGCCCAGGATGCGCCACATGGGGGTAAGTCTATCTCACTCCTTATGCAAGTCTTAATGGATCGAAGATCGCAATGGCTGTGATTTGGCATCGTCAATTCTCTTAAATTTGCAACCATTCACGCATCGCTCGTTTGAAGGCATCATAGTTAATTGCTTGTATGGCTGTTGGCGATCTATTCCACTCTGAGGCATTTTTTCTGAAGTCTAGAGTCTCTCACACTGGTGTTGGGTTTGTTCTCCCAAACACACTTTGCACTTCCTTCTAAGCTACTTTTGTATCCAATTTCTTACCTTTCCTTCCTCTACCATTTAATTAAGTTAAAATTTTAATTTTCAATCAGCACTTATTTTTGTCATTCTATTCCTTCCCTTAATCTCATTAATTCCTCCAATTCTTTTCTTCCTCATTCATAAGAAAGCGGTCTCTGTTTTTTTATTTTTAAAAAATAATCTAGAGAGCGGTAGCTTAATCATTAATGAACAAAATCCAATTTCCTTGACTCTAGACCGAAGTTTCAGTTCTAATTAAATTGACTGCCTGAAGAGAACAACGAGTGAAGAGGAGGTACTGAGTTGGCTCTCTTTATTGTTTATTCGCACGACAGTGTTGGTCAAGTATCTTAGGCCAGAATTTGCGAAAAGAGCAACGGTCGAGCACAATTTTTCATCATTTATGTTGTGTCTGCCTACTGTTGTAGTAAGCACTTCTTACCAGGGAAGTAAGTTCAAGGCTTATCTAGAACAGCAATTAGGAATTTCTTCGACTTCCTACTAGTTAATGTCTGTTGGCATTGCAGTTGGGGGAGGGGGGGGGGTTGTAATCTTTTTTACTCCACGTATTGGAGGACAGATGGAGAAGAAGAAGAAGACGACGACGCCAACGGTGAAAGTCGACTTTACGTTGTGTAGTTTAGCTACACATTACTCACAATCCCCTGAATAATTTTGTACAAAAATGCCTTATTTTGATGTTATCTCAAAGGTTTTGTTGCCCTGATAATATCTGAACAGGAAGCATGTTAACTTAGTCAATTTCTGCGATATATTCTTAACTTATTTGTTGTTGTTAAGAATTGGGAACTTTGTTTAATCAAATCAAATGCCTCTAAGTTAGGCATGATTCTTCATTTAAATTTCGTGGTTGATATTTTTGGGTATCAATTAAGTGCTCGTTTCGCGCTATCCATTAAAGTAATTATCCTTCCTCTTTTCTGGTAATGAAAAGAACGACTATTATAATGTAGTTATGCTCAAAACGTTTAAAAAAACCGCGGTATCCCCTGAGGGTCGTCAAATTGTTTTTTGGCCTGGGTACTGAGACTTATTTGATGACTTGCTTTAAAGTGAACTTGAGGGATTCCTGTAGGCTCGTGATAAATATAGTTGATTTATTGCACGTGGAAGAAATGTTTGACATTTTTTTAGTAACTGAGACGCTTTAAATGTTTTTCAGTGCTTCATCATATTTTTTTTTGTAGACAATTTGAGACCATTTTTTATCCACGGGAAAGTTTGCAATTTGTAGCATGAAATGGCCTGAATGAAATTCTATGTCGTGAGTATTTTTCTGATGACAGGGTAACAGCGAAATTCAAAAAGAGAGGAGGATCAATTTGGAGTGCCCAAATTGTCCTACTTCATTAATTTTTTTCGGATTTGTGTTTTACAGTGTCTACTTAATGGGTGGTTCGAGTCCCGATATTCAAATTTTATGATTTGTACCCCTCCCATCTCGATTGCTTAGCGTGCTTTTTCCACGAAGTTTATTACTTCATGCCATGGTCCTGTGGACCTTTTCTTATCTTACTACAGTAGCCCCTTTCCCATTTGACTAATTGTTTATGGACTTGTATGTGAAGGGCGATAAAAATGTATGAGCTAAGAAGCTTTCATAGGAAAGTATTATTTATTTATTTTTTTATTTATATCAAATAGCAGGCGTCTTGATGGTTATCATTAGCCCTTTAGTTGACTTCAGGCTTCACAGTGGGGAAGGAACATCAAATGGAAAAAATTCGAGAGGGGGGGGGGGAACAGAAGAGTGTTTCAAAGATGTAAGAGACAAACACAAAGGTAGAACAAAGGTGAGGTGAATACTGTGGATATAGTCGAATATGACATAGAGTGAGGTGATGGTTGTTTGAAGTGAGAAGTCAACTGCCAGTTAATAGACTTTTTTGCCGTATGAATATACGTTGTCCAGGGTGCACCACGTGGAGGTAAGTCTATCGTACACCCCTCATAGGAAAGTATTGATGGCTAATATTTATCTCCCATCAAGGTAAATCGAATTAGAGCTTCTTTAATGTTGCTATATTCTTAGCTGTTACACTTAATGCTCGTGTACTTGCAGATTTCAATTTTCTGAAATCTCTTATTTCAGAAATGGGCATTACTATTATCTCATCGATATGCTTATTTTCTTTTCATACTTCCACTTGCCCAACTTCACGTTTACCACTGGTCTTTTTCTTCTTATTCTTCTTCTCCTAGAACTCCACGATGCCTTTATCCTTTTCGACGCTGATCATGACGGTCGAATCACGGACACGGAATTAAAAAATGTCCTCAATTTCCTCAGCATTCCAGCTTCTCCCGATGAGGTTAAAAGAATGATTGCCGATGCTGACACTGATGGTGAGTTTTATATTAGTTGCTAATTTAATCAACAGCATGTTCCTTTTTACCTACCAATTTCTCATGTTAAACACAATTGCAATACATATTTGCACCTAATTGAATTAGTCCTCCTAGTATACTTTGCATCTCCACTCGGGTTACTTAATGTTATAATCAGTAGTATACTTTTTGCTTATAGATTAATTATCGTAACATAAATTTTACCTCATAGCATTAATTAGCAATCATAATAGCTCTTTCTATTTGCCTCTCTGACGTTAGGTTAACGCAAGGTTAATGTCCTCCCCTCCTCTCTCTCTCTCTCTCCCTCCTCGATTAACTTCTCCCTTTTAACCCTTCATTAGTTAGTTAACTACGAAAGTGGAGAAGGAAAGAAAAAAACAAGAGTTTAGGACTATTAGCATCTATTTATGGCATTATAGTGGCATTGGATTATCATCTTAATATCAGTATTTGTCCCTCCTCGTTGAATTAGTCCCAGTTTCACTTCTAGTAATTAAGTAAACACGAAATTGTGGCTTATTGAGTGATAATGTGTGTGTGGAAGGGGTGGGGTGCGGGATAGTTTGCGAGACGAAATTGAGAGATTAATAAGATTTAGTGGGGTTCAGAAAGAAAACATCCAACTTTTTGTAACTCAGTGGTGTTGATACGATGTGGTTATAGGCTAGTTGTCCACAAATATGGTAATATCAACTAGTTTTAGTTAGCGGTACTTATTTATATCAAATGGCAGGCGCTATGTTGATTCTCACTAGCCCCTTAGTTGACTTCGGGCTTCACAGAAGTGAGGAGGAGCATCAAAGTTAGAAAGTCAAGACTGTGAACAGAAGTGTGATTCGCAGATGTAAAAGAGACAGGCAAACACAAGGGTAGAGAAAAAGGTGAGGTGAGTACTGTGAATGGGGTCGAATATGGCGCAAGGTGGAGTCATGGTAGTTTGAAGTGAGAAGTCAACTCCCGATTTATAGACTTTTTTGCCATATGAGTTAACGTTGCCCAGGCTGCACCACGTGGAGGTGAGTCTATCTGCCTTCTAAGCAAATTCTAAACATCAAAAGTGTGGTATGTTGCATATCTGGCTTATTCGCTGAAGGACAGGAGTGATGTTGGCAACTCACTTCTACTTATTTAAGGTCTTCCTTAAGTCGTCCTCACTGG